CATGCCGGGTCGAAATGTTAGTCAATTTTAACTTTGTATCAAATATCTTCGTCCTTTCTTCCACTACTCTATGTCTTTTGTGGCTAATTGAGTCTCTCAATCTGATGAAATGTAACAGAACCTTCTATATTTCCGCAGGAAAACGATGGTAAATTTACTCCACTCCAGTTGCTAGGAATGGCCCGGGGTGTGGCGTCTGGAATGAAGTATCTTTCTGAAATGAGCTACATCCATAGGGTAGGTGTTGGCTACATCCACAGGGTAACTTCAATCGAAAGCGTCGTGAAAGATAACCGTGTACTGCCTTTTAAAAATTGAGATTCAATCAGCAAAATTTTCTCTCATGTATTGTTGCAGAAATAAATTTTGTAGTATGGGATGGTTATGTTCAAAGTAATTTTTCCCACAGCTGGAAAATAGACTGCGACCTTCAGCCATTTCATGTCCCCTGAGTTTATTTAGCAGGTTATCCGCTGTTATTAATCATAGCAGGACTTAATAAATGTTTTGCTTTAGCTCAATTTTTTTTCAATGTGTGTATGTTGTTTGCTGTTGGCCTAAGGCTGAGATTGAGCCTAGAGCGTTTAGAGATGACTGGAATGCGCTCTTGAATGCATGTAAGGAGTTCAGATTGGTTCTTTTACTGAAAAATGCAAGTAGACTATTTAGGCTTGGTAGCTGGCAAATGTGATATAATTTTAGCAATTGCAATGGAATAGCAAATACAGCTGCGTTTAATTTTATCATGTATTCATCTGGAAAAAAATACTTTTTCAACAATGGCATTTTTTAAATTTGGACAGTGAGAGCATGGTAGTCCTTAAGTATTGCACTGTTAAAATACTTAAGTCTTAATTTAACTTATGTTATTATTTCAGGATTTGGCAGCCAGGAATATTTTAGTAAATGATGACATGGTTTGCAAGGTTGCTGATTTTGGAATGAGCAGAGAATTGAGCGAGGAAGATACATATAACACAACGGTAATTAAATGTTTCATTAACCCTTGAAAACCAAGAAGATTTTTATCCTATTAACAGATGACATACAAATGTCTTTGAATTCCACTAAATTCATATCAGATCACCTTATCATATTTGCTGCTTCTTCAAAAGATTTCATACTGGAGAAGTGCAATCATTTGTGGATCAATGTATATTTTAATCTCGTACATTTATTGAGATTTATTACATATCAAACTCAAAGTATGTCTCTGAGCATATATTTATTGAAGAAAAGTTTCCTCACTTTTATCAATCACTATTTAACTTTTGTGGCAGAGACATAACAGAATTGAAATTCTTCAGGATGCTTCTAAATGTGAAATTTGACGTCATATGTTGTCCAGTAAGAGGAGACGTAGAAATTTTACCTCTAAGAAATTGGCCATTTTAGTTGGTTGACATCTATGCATGGTTGTTGTTGTCAGGTTCCATTAACCATGTGACTCATCGTTGCAACTGAATCTACTCTGCTACCATATCATTGTAAACCTTTTTTGTCTAAAAACAATTTCACTATAGTTCAAGCTGGTAGACGAGATCCTTTATGATATGTTTCAACTTAATTTTTTACAGGGTGGCAAGATCCCTGTTCGATGGACAGCACCGGAAGCAATCCAGTTTAAGAAATTCACCATTGCCTCGGATGTTTGGAGTTATGGTATCCTGCTTTGGGAGATAATGTCATACGGAGAAAGGCCATATTGGGACTGGGGCAATTATGAGGTATAATCACGTTTCTTTCTAATATTCACCAATAGGGAAATATTTTTTATTTCCTATCCATCTATCTCCCGCCTGGGCAATGGTTTTAACAAAAGTTGATAAATTGCGATTTCAAATCAGTACTCTACACCTGAAGAAAAAGTCAGGGCTATTTCGTTAACTCGTTATTCAGAAAATGATTGCTTAACCCTTTTTATTTGATCAAGAAGCTATCTCGTGGTTGAGATCTACAGATTTATTTTCTAAATGGGGGGGAGGGGGTATGGAGGGGTATTGTCTCTGTCTGTTTTTGAAATTCACATCCATTACCTTGCTTCGCAAAACTTGAAAGATGCTAATTCCTCAAGATTTAGAGTCATCTTGACTTACCTGCGGCCTCGACTATTCCTTGAAACATGATCTGGGCCTAATATTGTTGCAAGGTTGAATACATGAGAATATATAGTAGGGCATTGTTTTCCAATGTTCAAAAGTTTTCGCAACCATCTTGTGTACTTCTTTTAAAAGAATCAAGCAGAGGAATTTTTTTGAAAAGTTTCACGTTATATTCGTGGAAAATAAACGATAATAAAATGAACTTTTGTGATTACAAATCAGGGAAGACAAATACGGAAAGTTTGTCGAATTCTCTACGGAATATTTTAGCAAGTAAACAGAGGTAAATCAAGCTCTTGGAAACAAACATATAGTTACAAGGGATACTTTAGGAAACAACGCCTAAAAAGGGAGAATATTTGTCTCTTACATACGGGTCTTCATCTTCTTCAACTGTTTTGTGGCTGTTGGTGCATTCGCTTCTGTGCTGACACGCGTAGGAATCAATTTAAGCCTTGGTTCTTTTTTAGGTGCTTGAACGTCTGGCTTCTGGCTACAGACTTCCTCCACCAATGGTATGTTTTACGTTTCGAAGTCTCTAGATTTTATAGATTTTAACTACATGCTTTTCTTAGATCAATTACACAAGATATGACAAATATGCCATGCTCTGTTCTTTTCATACCGAGACTACACCTAGCTTAAACATTTTCTGCTCTTTGCTTTTTTCGTTGCTTATATTTGTGAGCTTTATTTGCTATAAATCTTAAAATCTATATTGGGGTACTAAAATACCGACGTAAAAGCAGTTGAGTTTTCCTGATCCATAGACTCCCTTGCATCAGCATTATTGAATTTTAAAGATTTTCCGACAACGGCCAAATCTGCAGGCCTACTGATGGCCTACTATTCTACAGACGTTTTTCTTCTTCTATCGCAGAGGGGTCTTTTTCGCTAGTTTCAGATTCCCAATGCCCTAGTTTCATATTTTCTGATCATGTGCATAAAGTACCATTTGTTATCCAAGTCAAAGATATTAAATAGATATCCCATTCTGCCTTCAATGGTATTGGTATGTTTGCAAATGCAACTCTACCTTCGCTTGCATATATTACAGTCCTGTGTATTCTAATTCTACGCAGGGTTTGATTCGGTCAAGTTTGCTTGGTCACATTACAATACGCTAGCTTGCTTCACGAAGCCCCCTTTTCTTCTCACAGTTTGTAACCTTTGAAATGCTTTTCTCTCTTCTTGCTTCCCAGACTATCAGACTTTCCTTTTTCTAAACGATAATCTACATGCTTGATTTCACCTCCTTCTCTTCTTACCCCCTTCCTCCTTACATAAACTTACATTGGCCTCAGACCTCTTTTCAACGCCTCCCTCCTTTCTCTTGTCATGGCTTTGCTATTGGCCCCAGACCTTACATAACCAAACGATTTATGTTCACTGTTTCTGTGTTTATCAACGCAACTTTTGCTGTTTCTTATCTAAGTCTTAAAAGCAGCTGTTTACGATTGAAAATCTCTTGCAGAGCTGCCCTAAAGTTGTGCACGATCTTATGTTATCTTGCTGGCACAAAGATCGCGTGAAAAGACCAAAATTTAAGGACATTCGTGGCACGATTGATAAGTGGATCCGCAGTCCGGAATTGCTGAAACACGAGGAATCGGTTGTGACAAGGCGGTATGTTGCAATTAATATCCTTTCAATATACAAGAAAACTATGAAAAAAATCTTTTGGTGGTACAAAACTTGTAAATGGCTTTGAAAAAAGCAAACATTTAGTAAACTAAAGCTTTTCGTCTGACACTCTTCAGAGTTTAAAACGTCAGATCATAGATCGAAAACTCTACGCTAAGAAATATATATACCCAGTTGTGGATCGAAGTAGGCCAATCAGAAACACGAGCACATGCTGTAGGACGCACCACCCAAAGATTGGAGGATGAATAAAACAACATGTTCCATCTAATATTAGAAACAAAACCCATCC